ATCCCCCTGCTTCCCCCCAGCTCCCACCCTGGGTACCCCCCTAGCCCCACTCACTGCGACTGGCCTGGCTGGATGCTGCCAAAACAATCACGGGATGATTTTGGGGCTGAAAACTACTGCTGCGTGCTTTCAGGCTTGTCTGGAGGATTTGGGGACGCTCACGGGATGCCCTGAGCTGGCTGAGCCCGTGGCAAGGAAGGAACTGCTGCACGAGGGAGAGGCTGAAGGATGCTGGGGGATTAGGGAGAAGGATGCTGGAGCTACGGAAGAAGGATGCTGGGCTACAGGAGAAGGATGCTGGGTCTACTAGAGAGGGATGCTGGGGCTACAGGAGAAGGATGCTGGGGGCTACAGGAGAAGGATGCCGGGGCTACAGGAGAAGGATGCCAGGGCTACAGCAGAAGGATTCTGGGCTACAGAGAAGGATGCTGGGCTACGGCAGAGGGATGCTGGGCTATGGCAGAGAGATGCTGGACTATGGGAGAAAGATGCCAGGGGCTACAGCAGAAGGACGCTGGGCTACAAGAGAAAGATGCTGGGGCTACAGAAGAACAATGCTGGGCTATGGCAGAAGGATACTGGGGCTACAGAAGAAGGCTGCTGGGCTACGGGAGAAGGCTGCTGGGCTACGGCAGAAGGCTGCTGGGCTACGGCAGAAGGATGCTGGGACTACGGGAGAAGGCTGCAGGGCTACAGCCCGTCAAGCAACACCCCCTCCAGCAGCAACAAACCCCTCAGGGCTTTTAGGGTACGGAGGCGCCGGCACGGGAAGCTAAGGATGCTCGGAGCCCGCCGCAGCAGCGCAAGGGTCGATCCCCAGCAAGCAGGGACGCTCGATTGCCGGCGGGTGGGATGCACGCGGCGCGAGGGCCGAGTCTGATCCCTCTTTCCACCCCTCCGCTCTCACCGCCCTGATTTTCATTCCCATCATGTCTAACTGGCCGGGCGCCAGGGCGAGGAGAAAGCCGGGCTCAGCTGGGCTGCAGCTGTCCAGACAGAGATCAATACAGGACACGCAGCGAAGGCTGATTTTATTACAGCGTCTAACAGCACAGGCACCTAATAAAGCCCCCAGCCCCGACTCCTACTTAATTGCTTTCTCTCACAGCTTTTCCTTGAGAAAATGGAGAGAGGTGGCGGGGGGGGGAGGGGGGAAATCCCCCCTCTCCCAGCCCCTAAACCACGCAGCAAAAGGAAAAAAAAACCAACCCGAATCTTGTCCTGGCAACACAGGGCAAAACTCCTGAGATCAGTTCAAGCGGCTCCAGAAAAGCCTTTTATTCGCTCGGTGCCGTTTGGGCTAATTACTGCTGCCATTTACAAGCAAATAAATAAATAATCATAAGCCCTGCTAATAAAGTGCAGCTTGCGCTTGGCCTGAGGCCACCTCTCCCGGTGGCGCGGGGGTTCATTTTTCCGGCTGGATACCCCAAATCCTCACCCTGCTCCTGCCAGGGGAGACCGCAGCTTTGGTCTAAATTTCGGGGAGGGAAGATCCAGCTCCCAGCTCTCGGATGGAGCTGCCCCGCAGGGAGCGGCTGGGAAATCCCTAACACTTGCTGCAAAGTCTAACAAATGCCAACACACGCCACACAAAACCACAAAAAAATTTCCAAATCCAAGACTTCGGTGCCTTTTCAATACATCCCGGTGGGATCAGCCATCAAACAACCTGGCATCCCGGCAGCAAATAACCCAAACGAGCAAATTTGGCTTAAAATAGCAGAAATAACTAGGCGAGCTGGATTCTAGGTGGGTTTCGGCGCTCTATGGGATTCAGACAAGTGGTTAAGTGAAGGCAAAACCCAACAGCCCTTTGGTTTTGCTGCTCCTCCAACCCACGCCGGCACAGCCAGGTCGGCGTCGGCACCACCTCCGCGGTGACAGGGCGGTCATTCAGCATTTGCCATCAGACCGTAAAAATAAGAGAAGAGAAGAGAAAGCAAAAGAGGGCTCCGCAGCACCGCGGTTTCGTCGTGCGAGCGCCGCATCCCCCCAAAAAGCTTTGCCGGCACTGCGGCATCTCTCTGTTATTTATCCAGAGCAATCCCACCCCGCAAAGCCACCTCCTCAAAATGCCACCCCCAGGGCTTGCCGCCACCCCCGTAATCCCCCGGCGCAGCCGCTCGCTCACCAACACAGTCGCAGGTGGGGAATTCCGCTTGTGCCCGCTTGGCCGGCGTGTCCAGGAGGCTTTTGGTCGGCGTGTCCAGGTATTTCAGCGGCGATTCCAAAAAGCCGCTCAGGGTCGGCGTCAGCGGCACCTCGTCCTTGGTGGGCGTCCCTTCTGCGTCATCCGCGTCCGGGTTTTGGCTTTCCTCAGAGTAAAAGCACGTGGTGGACACCACGGTGATAGCACCAGAAGACTCGATTTTGATCTGTTTGGGGGACCGGGCGGTGAAGGGGGGCTCTGAAAGTGGCCCCTTCCCCGGCGAGAATGAAAAGCTTTTGGGTCCAGCTTGGGGAGCGGCTTGAAGCCCCGGGGCGGTGGCGGCAGGGGGCACTTGCGTGGCTGGTACTGGGCCCCGATCG